CCTTCCTTCCTCTTCCCTCCCTCCTTCCTCCCCTTTTTCCTTCCTTCCTTCCTTCCTTCCTTCCTTCCTTCCCTCCTATTCCTAGTCTTCTTCTAGTAGACATTTTGAAAGACCTGTTTCTCACTACTCAGACTCTCCCAAATCTCCCTCGCCTCTACCTGGTCATCCATGGTGTTAACCCCATCGGGCCCCAGTGCCTCAATGGCCTGGTTGATGAGATCTGTCCTCCCACAATTGAGCATCCGGAAACCTAGGTCCTGGTTGAACTTCTCAGTGGCTGCTTTGGCATCGAGTCTCCGAAAGGAACTGAAACAACATTCAGGCCTGTCCAAGAGAAAGACAAAAAGGATACGAGCTGCATTATGGGGAATCCTTCTGGGATGGATTCAGGGCGTGTTTCTCTACACCAGGACTCAATGCAGAGTCAGGGAGCCCCAGAAGCGCTAGGCTGGGTGTAGGGATGTGAGATTCCAACAGGATCAGATTGGCCACATGGCCAAGTGAGGGATGATCTCAGACATAGCCAGCCTTATCTTTTCTCCACAAATCACGAATAAGTCTAGAAAGTGCCTTGGTGGTGTAGTCACCGTTTTCCATATGTAACATTCTACCTCCCCTCCAAAATCAGGGGTGCACTATTGGAAATGTCTGTGTCTCCAACCATTCCATATCACTCCTTCAAGCACCGGCATCTCAGCTAGATTGGCCCACTTTGTATCATAGATCTGGAATGCAAAAGGATCTAAGAAGACATCAATCCTTGTTCTATGCATCTCATACCTGACATTTCTAGTCTCTCCCAGCCTCCTTATGGTGGTCCTCCATGCTGGGAATGCCTTTCCTCCCTCCTATCCCTAAGAATTCCTAGTTTCTTACAGTTCAGCTCAGCCTCAGGCGCCATATAAGGCCCCTACTCATTCCCCCACATTTATTTATCTGCGTACATGTTGTTTCCTCTTAGCAGAATGTAAGCTTCTTGAGGGCAGGGACTGTTTCTTTCTTTCTTTGCCTCCATGCACAACGGGGACCAGTTACAGAATCAGAGAAATGTCTGTCTTGGGATTTAGATCAGGAGCTACAGTTAGTATGGCTCTTTCAGAGAAGGGGGAAGGATGTGAAGGCTCTCAGTGGCTACAAGGGGTCAGGAAAGCCTTTATCCCACTTTTCCAGAACGAGTAGCCTATGAGGAGAACAATCCAATTCCAAGACAGAAGAAAGGGCTGGAATTCTTCTGCCATGTCTGCTTCCCCATTCTAACTCTCCTGCTCCAGGTATCAATCATGGAATCTTGGGAGACGGGGATGGTCCCCAGGGACCAGTCTTGGTGGAGATTTATGAGCTATTCTAATAATACTCTTGTTTATTTATGGGAAACTTTTTCAGAGAAGTTCAAAACACTTTATAGCTTTTACCACCCACCCTCCCAACATCTTTGTAAGATAGGAAATGGATGGCTATGGCCAGCAGAGGCTACAGAAGGAAAAAAACAAAACAAAACAAAACAACTTGCCTCCCTTGCTCAACAGAAAGTTGTCTGTAGGCTTGGGACAGCCAGCCCTCCCCTTGCCAGCTTTGTCCTTACAGGTTGTAGGACTTTGGCTGCTCCCACCCCACCCCAACAGAGCACATCTCACATACTTTAACTGCCGGGGCTCGCAGTCCAGGCCAGGTAGGAGTAGTCGGGCTGTCTGCCGGATGTCATCACTGTCCACAGTCAGGCTGCGACGGTGTTCTGCATAGGTGATGGCCACACGCATCCATTCCATCAGTGGAGGGAGGAGCATGAAGGGCCTGCAGGAGAGCAAAGAGACAACAGGGTCAGCATACGTGGACATGAGTCAGTGACAGGGGAAAAGAGGACATCTACCAGTGTTTCTTGGAGAATGGACAGCAATTAATTTGTATAATGGCTTCTTTAAAATGATGATCCCTTTTAATATTCCCTGTCCAGCAAGGCAGAAGGCAGAGAGAGGCATCAATCCAGTGAGCAGGAAAGGATGTCATTGGTTGAACCACTCCGGGTGGGAACTTTGACTCTGGGTCAACACCATGCTGACTGCTCTATCTTGTCCCTCAAGAACCACCCCAAACCACTACGGGATGGAGAGGGCACCAGACTCAGGGTCAACACCACGCTGACTGCTCTGTCTTGTGCCTTGAGAACATCAGACACAGCCAGGGGAATGTTACCAGTGGTCAAGGAGGGTCAGTCAACAGCCAGTTGACGAGTTGACTGCGTGCCCAGTTTCACAGCCCAGGCTGTGAATCATAGAATTGGGTTTCGTGGGAATAGAGGAGACAGGAGAGATTGCTGGATTAGTCAGGAGTCAAGAGACCAAAGTCTTGGTCCTAGGCCTCCCACAAGACAGCTCTACACTTCAACAATTCCAGGCCTCAGTTTCCTTATCTGTAAGATAATGGAATCTAAAGGACAATCTTGAAAACAGTTTCCAGCTCTAATAAGAGTAAATATTTACAAAGCACCTAAAAGCTCTTTACATACCATCTCATTTAGCATGGCCACTTAGCAGTGAGGTGCTGCAATTATCCTGATTTTACTGAAGAGGAAACTGAGACTGAGAAAGCTTAAGTAATTTGCCTGAGGGCACACAGCTGGTGAGCTGTCTGAAGCAGCATTTGAACCCAGGTCCAGCGTCCTATCCATCATATTGACCGCTGACATGGGCGGAGGCTGGATCCTGCTGGAGCTCTCCGGCACATCGTCCCCGGTGAGCAACGCCTCCGGGACCAGCAGCCCCAATAGCAGCACCCTTTTCTCTCCCCCTCGCTGGGATGACAAGAGTCCCCAGCCCATCCTGGGATGCAGGCCATCGGTCTTCAAACGCAGCTCAGGAGTTTCCTGCAGGATTTGAACTCCTGTGTACAAATAGGATTCCCAAATGGGCAAGGGCACTTTACCCCCTGGTCCTGCCACCTCAATCAATGCAAATAAATTAAGTGAGTCTCTCTGTGTGTGTGTGTGTGTGTGTGTGTGTGTGTGTGTGTGTGTGTGTGTGTGTGTAAGCAACAGCATAGAAAAGCCTCAGCCCGTCAGGCTGAGGAGAGTAGCATCAGCCAGCCCTTTGAGGATCCCACCAGCCAATAGCCCCAAGGGGCCACTACATTTTACACTATTGCCCCATGAAAGCCCCCATCTAAAGCATGCTCAGGGAGATAGGACACTGACAAGCAACTCAAAACGGGAGAGGGCTTTTTGGGAAGGGCCAGGGGCACGAAATCCTGTTAGGAGAAAGGTTCCATAATAGGATTTGGGAGTAGAGCTTTTCTCTAAGGACTGGGGGGCGGGGGGGGGGGGAGCGACTGGAACTCCCACTTCTTCAGAAGAAGCAATTCAGCGTCTCAACAAGGACTTTTCTGTTTTTATCCTGCCACGAGCTAGGTAGAGCAGGGGGGCGACACAGGATGTATCTTTGACAAAGGGCCTGTTTCCTCCCCCTCCTCCAGCCTCCTCCTTTGTTCCTGCTCAGTCCTGCCTGAGATCACCCACCATCTTAAAGTCAGAGAGGCGGTTCATGGCTGGTCAGGGCCACTCCCGTTGATGAAGGAGGGCTGCCCGGGGTCCTTTCCGAGGGCTTTGTCTAGCTTCCTGAGGCAATGAGGACCCCCTCTGGAGACCATCTCACAGTCTAATCGATTTGGCCATTAGGGAAGTCTCCCTGACAACCAGCCTCCTTGCTTTGTGACTCACTGGACATACGGACTGCCCCCAATGGATCGAGCCCTTCTCCTGGCTCGCCATCACGAGAAGAAAGGCCATCACCAACAAGCTGCCCTCTTAGGCAAGTCTCGATAATGACAAGAGACCTATTCCCTTCTTCCCTCTGTGTTCTGTCAACTCTAGCAGGCTCAGCGGGGGGGCTGCTGAGCGGGACCCAGGCTTTCCTCCAAGTTTGGTGCTGGGTCTGCTGGAGCTCATTAAAGTCCATGACAGGCAGCATGGCCTCAAGGAAAGAACATTGGATTAGAAGTGCAAAGACCTGGGTGCAAGTCCTGACTATGCCACTTACTGTTCACGTGACCTTAGGCAAGTCTCCTTACCACTGTGAACCCAAAAGACCCTCATCTGCAAAATAGGAATCGTAATATTTGCATTACCTACCTGTTGGTTCACTTGGGTTCAAAATATGAGCTTCCTAAGTACAAGACGTGAAAGGTATGACTACACAGGAGTCTGTTGGAATAAGATCTGGGGGTTTTATGGGGCAGCTAGGTGGTGCAGTGGATAGAGCGCTGGCCCTGGAGTCAGGAGGACCTGAGTTCAAATCCGGCCTCAGACACATAACACTCACTAGCTGTGTGACCCTGGGCAAGTCACTTAACCCCATTGTCTAGCCAAAAAAAAAAAAAAAGAAGACAATCTGGGGGTTTTAATGGACCTCAAGCTCCATGTGAATCAAAGGTGTGATAGTGTAGCCCAAGAATCTAATGGGATTTTAGACTGGAATTAGGAGATGGTAATATCTCTGCATTCTGCCTTGGCCAGGTCAGATGTGAGTGCCATGTATAATTGTTCGGTGTGCTATTAGGCAAATGTAGCACAGAGGATATAGAGCGTGGGATTTGGAGGCAGGAAGATCTGAGATCAAATCCTGCCTCAGACACTTACAATTGTGTGACCCTGGGAAAGTGATTTCATCTCTGTTTCCTCATCTGAAAAATGAGGCTAATAACAGAGCCTGCCTTTCTGGGTTGTTGTAAGAACCCAGTGTGATACTATTTGTAAAGTACCTTGCTAATCTTAAAATGTTATATTAATGCTAGTTGTTATTATCATTAATATTTTATTAATATTACATTATTAATTAAAATAGGAAATATAACAGTATCTATAGTATTGAAATTATTATTAACAACAATAACAATAAATAAGAAGTGGGATGATGGTCATGAATGGGTGTAGGGATGAGAGGCATGGCCATGTCAGTGTTGTAGAAAGAATGAATGAACAAACCCATGAATTATCTTTCTGCCACAGTTCAGTTCCTAAAGCCAACTGTCTGAGAGGTTCAGTCTTGACTACAGACCTGCAGTGCCTTTTTGTAAATTAGACAATATTTAGATTTCAAAAGTACGTTGGAAAATCAGAAGCTTTCAGGTCAAAACAGGAAGCCAAGCTCAGAAACACATGGCCAAACTGCTGTCTAGCCCAGTTCCTTTTAGCCACAACAAAGGGTCACCTAACCTCTCTTAAAAAACCTCCAGCGACAGGAGAGGTGCTACCTCTGGAAACAGCCTATTTCACTCTAGGATGCCTGGAGAAGTGGGGTATGATGTCCAAACCTGTCTCTCTGCCTCTCTCACACTTTGCTCTTTGTTTCATTGGTTGGGGCAGGTAGACGTTTTTGCAAATGATAACCCTTCAAATATTTGCAGATTCAAAATCCCTCCAAATATTTTTTAAGTGACTTGCACTGGACAAGTCATTTAACCACCCTGAGCCTCAGTTTCCTCAGCTGTAAAATGAGGGGGTGGAACTAGATGACCCCAGCTCTAAATTTACTATCCTTTGACCCACTTAAACCATCTCTAGCCACACTCCCCCCACTCCAATTCTACATGTATCCCTGTTAATGTTTTACATATTCACCGGATTCGGCATAAAACTTTACTTACATATCATTAGCCTTGGGAATAGAAGAGTAAGCAAAAAGATAATTCACAAATTAGCAAAATCACGCTGTGTTCATTGGATAATACATAAGAGCCAAGTGTAGGGTTTTTATCGCTACAAAACCTCTTGAAGTCTCTCTCTGCTGGGATGTCTCCCTCCTCTGCCCAAACCCAACCCAACGAGGCAGGGGTAATGGGAAGCTACGTTCTAGCGAGACACGAAGGCCACGGAGAGCTGGGCGTTAGAGCGACGCGCTGTTGGTAGGATGCTTTCTGCTCTTTTGAAGACGGTACGTGGCTACATGCATTATTAATAACCACAAAGAGAGCCATCTCAGAGATGTTTTCTGAAGACAAGGTCATCTTGCTTTCCTTCTGCCCTTGGGGTACGTCTGCTGCTCGTTTGAATGCAATTATGACAACTCCACCTGCAAAACCGACCCTCCTTCCTCGATAAAAACCACACAGGGCCCAGAGGAGGGTGAAATAGTCAGGGACGATGCCCCAAGCATGGCCTGGGCTCCAGTCAAGAGACACACCGAGCTTATTCCTCCCTAATATGCCTCTTCTGGGTCATGGATGGTACCATGGTGAGATCTTCGGAACCTCCTGGATTCGAATCCCATTTCTACTACTTACAACTGGTGTGACCTTGGACCAGCCATGTCATTTCCTGGGCCTCAGCTCTGTCTCCCATGATGTGGACCAGGCTCTCTCTGAGGCGCCTTCGATATCCCTGTGATATTTCATCTCCCCCTGGGCGTCCTTAGAAGAGCTGGCTGGTGTTCCTGGGCATGCTGGACCAGTCCAATAAAAACGAACCCTACGGGCTGCTTCTACAAGGTAGAAGGGCCCCCCGAGGAGCAATGCTGAAATGTATCTGCGGACGGGGCCTTGGCTTGCTTTCCCCCTAATTAAAAGGGGAAATATTCTGCCTTCTTGTCTTTCCTCTTGGCTGCCCTGGATCCTGGGGCAATGCCCATCAGATCGACATAGGTGTTGACAGCACCGGTGCTGGGCAGAGGGAATGCAGGGGAGGGTCCTCAGGGCCAGAGAAAGCCAGGTCCTCTCAGCTCCTTTATGCTCCACAGCTTTCTTCAGGCAGGCTGGATGTTTGAGAAAGCATCTGGTGGTTCAGATGTTGGCAAGTCAGCAGCGGG